AAGCCGGTAACACAGACACCACTATTACTACCACTGTCACCGTTATCACTGCTGGTGGAACAACCACTACCACCACTACCACTACCGCTCTCACTAGTAGCACTAGAACCAGTAGTACCAGTACCAATACCAGCACCAGCACCAGCACCAGCACCAGCACTGACAATACCACCAGCAGCAACAGTAATAATAATAATAGTAGTAGTAGTAGTAGTAGTAGTAGTAGTAGTAGTACAAGTAATAGTATTAGTAGTAGTAGTATTAGTAGCAGTAATAGTAGTAGTAGTAGTAGTAGTAATAGTAATAGTAATAGTAGCAGCAGCAGCAGCAGCAGCAGCAGTAGTAGTAGTAGTAATAGTAGTAGTAGTAGTAGTAGTAGTAGTAGTAGTAGTAGTAGTAGTAGTAGTAGTAGTAGTAGTAGTAGTAGTAGTAGTAGTAGTAGTAGTAGTAGTAGTAGTAGTAGTAGTAGTAGTAGTAGTAGTAGTAGTAGTAGTAGTAGTAGTAGTAGTAGTAGTAGTAGTAGTAGTAGTAGTAGTAGTAGTAGTAGTAGTAGTAGTAGTAGTAGTAGTAGTAGTAGTAGTAGTAGTAGTAGTAGTAGTAGTAGTAGTAGTAGTAGTAGTAGTAGTAGTAGTAGTAGTAGTAGTAGTAGTAGTAGTAGTAGTAGTAGTAGTAGTAGTAGTAGTAGTAGTAGTAGTAGTAGTAGTAGTAGTAGTAGTAGTAGTAGTAGTAGTAGTAGTAGTAGTAGTAGTAGTAGTAGTAGTAGTAGTAGTAGTAGTAGTAGTAGTAGTAGTAGTAGTAGTAGTAGTAGTAGTAGTAGTAGTAGTAGTAGTAGTAGTAGTAGTAGTAGTAGTAGTAGTAGTAGTAGTAGTAGTAGTAGTAGTAGTAGTAGTAGTAGTAGTAGTAGTAGTAGTAGTAGTAGTAGTAGTAGTAGTAGTAGTAGTAGTAGTAGTAGTAGTAGTAGTAGTAGTAGTAGTAGTAGTAGTAGTAGTAGTAGTAGTAGTAGTAGTAGTAGTAGTAGTAGTAGTAGTAGTAGTAGTAGTAGTAGTAGTAGTAGTAGTAGTAGTAGTAGTAGTAGTAGTAGTAGTAGTAGTAGTAGTAGTAGTAGTAGTAGTAGTAGTAGTAGTAGTAGTAGTAGTAGTAGTAGTAGTAGTAGTAGTAGTAGTAGTAGTAGTAGTAGTAGTAGTAGTAGTAGTAGTAGTAGTAGTAGTAGTAGTAGTAGTAGTAGTAGTAGTAGTAGTAGTAGTAGTAGTAGTAGTAGTAGTAGTAGTAGTAGTAGTAGTAGTAGTAGTAGTAGTAGTAGTAGTAGTAGTAGTAGTAGTAGTAGTAGTAGTAGTAGTAGTAGTAGTAGTAGTAGTAGTAGTAGTAGTAGTAGTAGTAGTAGTAGTAGTAGTAGTAGTAGTAGTAGTAGTAGTAGTAGTAGTAGTAGTAGTAGTAGTAGTAGTAGTAGTAGTAGTAGTAGTAGTAGTAGTAGTAGTAGTAGTAGTAGTAGTAGTAGTAGTAGTAGTAGTAGTAGTAGTAGTAGTGGTAGTGGTAGTAGTAGTAGTAGTAGTAGTAGTAGTAGTAGTTGTACTAGTAAAAGAAGAAGTAGTAGTAGAAGTAGTGGTCGCAGTAGCAGTAGTAGTAGCGTTACTAGTATCACCAGCTAAAGCAACTATGGAAAAGGCAGTGCTGCCAGCAGCGCCGCTCTCGTTTTCTTTCCTATTCCCGTACTCGTACCCGTGAACGTTCTCCTTCTTATTTTCACCGTTCACGAGTTTCGAGGCCGAGCCACTCGACATCTTCCCTCTCTACCACCCTCGCCACCGCTTCCCACTTCTTCATTTGTGGCCGCCTCGAGCGTACCACGCGCCCGCACCGCGCACATTAAACGTCTTGACAATATGTACCTTCACCAACAATACCCTCACCGCCGATCTCTATCCCCGTCACATATCATCACCCTTCACCGATCTCTTACCACCATCCGCTTTACAAACACTTCCTTTTAACAGATATTATTTTCCAATCTTTTCCTCTTTCAACACAACCTCCTCTCCAACTATCTGCCAGTGGCAGCGCACGAGGTGCCTGTTGTCCAAAATCGTACTTGTGTGTTTACTCTGACGAACTATGCGAGCCGCGCGCGGCGTTTCTCTGCTTCGTAGTATCCTAAACTCACGACATCTCGCGGTACCAACCACGAACCCTGTCGTTTCATTTGCTTTTCCCATCGATCATCCAGCACCCACCACATTCGACATCGACGAATCTCATTGAACGTAAGCACAGCCTATGCAATCTTCTCCTTTCGTTCTTTATTCTCATGTACACACGGATATACCTCTGCGATATATGTACATGCCACTTATATTCGCGATAAAGAAAACAAGCGCATGCGCTCTATCATTATATTTCATGTTGTGTCTTCTCTCGCAATATTGTATACGTATTTGAATAATATGTACAATGTACTTGCTTACATCGTACGATGGTTTTCACATTTTAGCGATATGATTAGAACGAAAATTTTACGTAAATTACTCTACGTATACAATTCCAATTATTGAAATTTCATTTAATTTATAAACTTGCATCGCATTTGATTGTTTTCATTTGCTTTATCACAATTGACATACATGTATACGTACATCGCACCCTCTGTTCCTAATATAATTTAACAATTTTAGAAAAGCCGTTGTCATTATTTTATTATTATTATTTATTATTTCTCATTCAAGATTTCAATGCTAAATTACTTTCCGATATGCGTCGTCTTTTTATTTGCCCGTTTATTGGTACAAACAGGTACTTTTAATGAATTTGCAAACCTGGCAAGACATAAAAATTATCACAATAAGTATATTCGGTGACAATGCCATTTTCTATCAAATTACTTGGCATTAGCTTTGCCAATTACGCGATAATTTTAGAAAACTTCCGATAACGTAGAGTTGCGTCATTGAAAACTATTTATTTTTGTATTATGTATACGTATATACATAATGTTGCATGCATTACCAGTATAGAAAGTTACAAATATGAACGATAACTTTATAATCGATAGATTTAGCACGAAACAAATTTCGTTTGAAACATTTTCAGCAAACAACTTAATTATGTTAAACGTGAAATAATGTTTAATCAATGTTCGTAAATTCGTGAATTCGATGGTTCACGAGCGATCGTTATACATATTCAGTTTCAATTAAATTGATTAATTTGCATCTCAGTAACTCAGTAATATTACATAGTTTTTATTATGGTGATATTTGTATATCGGCATCAAAAGTTACAGTCTATAACGTGATACATGTCGTTATGATGTTTTATAATAAAATCTGAAGTTGATATGATGCAAGGATAATTTAAATAATCGTCATGATATTGTGAATAATGGATTTCTAATGTATGCCTAAATAATAGTAACAATGTCGCGCGAAATTTACGAATCGTTCCGTTACATCTTATGGATATGTATGTTGTATCAATCCCATAAGAAGGAAAGAAAAAAGAAAGAAGTAAGAATCAAAATAATGAATACATGTCTCAGGTATAAAAAGAGAATCTAACACTAAATGCTATAATTGTACCACAAAGAACTTACATGATATAGTTGATGAATAAAAAAATTCGAGATTTAATTATACAAATATTTGTATGTTGGGTTGTACTCATTGTCCACGTAATTCAGTGCTTTTATAACGCTGAACATATGTATGTGTAAAAGTTTGAATATAGAAGTTTTGATTTTTAACGTTATACATAAATAATTTATTGCCTGTTGTAAATTTATTTTTAATTATATTTAAACCATAATTCATATACGTCAGATAAGGGAAAAATAACGCGTTTCGAGCGTTTAAACTTTTACATTTATGTTTATTTGTTCTTTTCATTGCTTATCTGACATTTATGAATATTTATTAAACTCCTTAAGGATTTACAGGTATTATAACAGAATCCTTAATTTTCTATATTATAAATAATAAAATAGGTCTCTTATTATATAACTTAAGCCTCTGACAGACAAATAGTTAGATGGATCATCGTTAAGTTAAACAAAATAGTTTCCGGGTAAATTTAGTAAACAAAAATAATTATCTACTGCCTGTATGCATTATTATTCTGTCTATTTTCAATTAATTGTAGCTTAAGATAGTGGTGTGCTTCGTGATTAGGAACTGATTTAATAACTGAATCGATAGCCAATAAGTCTTAGTCTATTTTACAATTATTTCAATTATTATTTCGCTACCTCGATTACTGAATTTAGTAATATAATATCGTATAATATATAGACTGAAACTTACGTGTTCTATAACAACGTCGTAAATACGATTTAAATTATGTAAATATAAAATACCTTTGTACGTTGAATTATTTTTCGAAAGTATTATTTATCTAATTAATTAATCCATTAGATTTAGATATATGCATGTAGGTCTGGTATAGCCTAATTTAGAGTAATATATGTATTGCAATGTTTTTAGTTTCACCTACACTTCTACATTTTCTGCATGTTTCAGCATTTAAAAAATGAGGAACCACTATTGGTTAATGAATCTGTTTGTTGGAAAAATACACCGGCACACCGTGAAATCATGGTGATTTCCTGATAAGTTTAGCATCAATGATACAACTATGCGTGAGTATTATTTGGATCTAAGAATGTACGCGGCAAACAAAACATTATACTGTCGGTTCATGATTTACAGCGAAACTAACTCTTCTAAACTATACGTTACGATATTTTAACATGATTTTTGGTTATCGTTTATATTACATTAATTAATTACCTAATAAACATAACAACAACGGTATACAGATTTAAACATTCACTAGTTACATGCATATATAAATACGATTCTCTTCTGAACGCTATACGGTAATATCCTACGTATATCTCTATGTACAAGTGTAACGGTACTCTTCATTTTTCTCATTTGGATAAAATTTCTATTTCCTGCGGCATAATGTGATAGAATTTATAAAAGTCTGTATAATTGTATACATGCAATCAAGAAAACTGTAAAAAATTTAAAAACGTACGTTTTACAATAGCAAAATTTTTGTCGAGAATGAATCTCACGAGTTCCAACAATTTTACGCCATATTTGTCTGATTTCAGATATACACACGTTTCACTAACATTTATAAACACTTTGGAAACGTTTCATGTAAAACAAATTTCTATCGAGGATTTTAGAAACATCGAAGCGTTTATATCGTATAAATCTCTATTTAAAAAAAAGAAAATAATTTTCAACCATGCAGAATGTATAGTGATTTTAGCAAGATTGTAATTCCAATAAATGTAATTCCAATGCAAAAAATATTATATCTTTATGACTAGAGTAATAATATTTAGTATCGGTATAATTAAATAATATCGTTTGTTCGCTCTTTTTGAAGATAGAAGAACATCTAGCGCGAACAGTATGTGCAGAAGCGAAAATTGTCGTCTAATTCTCTCAATTATTCCGAAGGAACTGCCAGTTAAAATATATATGTTTTCCATTTATGCGTCTCTTCGCATCGCTAATTTCTTCATGTTTTTGATCTTCGATATAAAAATATATATTAGAAATAAAATATTCGTCTCTCTGAGGTTGAGCTTCGTTTAATTCTTTAAAACTATAGTATCTTGATCATTGTAATATGTATTATTAATTTCATTCGAGGTTTGTGTGCAATAAAGATATAAAAAGAAACGAACAAATTTGTTAAGATGTACAATTCGGTAGTTTTTAACATTGTGTTTCACTATGTTAATGTGTAATTTGATACTGCTTTCGTATGTCACTATAAGTTTATTGTGCCGGTAATAATAGGAACTAAGTTTAAGTTTAATTGAAAGTCAAACTGCTTAAAAAATATGCGCGACTTGACAGCGTTTAGAATAATTCAACATTCAAAAGCAAGTACAGCTTTTTAATATTCTTCGAATTCGTCACAAAGTAAAAAATACAATTTTCCGTAGTAATGATTCGCTAAAAAATGTTACGCCTTCGATTCGTATGAAAACGTGAATAGCATGTTAAAAATAGATGCATTCGTTGTTGTAGTCAAGTCACGGACTCTTTAATGAAAGAAATTCGCATCTACGTTCGATTCATTCTTCAGTGAGAACCTTTCCTTAAGAATAGGTTTCCGATTAATTTCTTAAGCGCAATGACAATATGAAAGTTCTTACTGGTACGATATTTGTCGAAACATGCTACTAATCTCCTCCATCGTTTTGTTCTTTGTCTCGGGTACTTTTTTGTAAATGAAGAAAACGAAGAATGCTTGTAGTGCGGCGAAAATAATGAACACGTAGGCACCTAATGCCTCTTGTAGCGGTAGGAATCCGATACTGACGATGAAGTTGGCCGTCCAATTGACCGCGATAGCAACGGATGTCGCCGCAGGCCTCGCCGATTGATTGAACAACTCGGACACCAAGAACCAAGGGATGCTACCTGGTCCAGTTGCAAATAGGATTACGAACGTCATTACCAGTACAATGGAGGAGTAAGCTGCTGCGCGAGATGTGTCCTGAAAACCAAAAAAAAAAAAAAAAAGAAAAAAGGGATGCATCCGTTGGTTTTTCCTTTAAAGCAATACCGCGATGTTACTCACGGTTTATTCACGGTAATATACTCACTGCGAAAGCAAGACAAATGGCGAGTAACGCGGTATCGATAAACATTCCGCTGAATCCGGCTAACAGCAACGTTTTTCTTCCAGCTTTTTCGACAAGTATCAAAGAAACGAAAGTCATAACGACGTTCATCGCTCCGACGGCCATCGTTGCATTTTGTGCTGCGGTCTTGTCCAACTGCGCCATCGTGAAGATCTTGGTCGAGAAGAACATGACGGCATTTATTCCGGACAATTGTTGAGCGAACATAACCATGATTGCGATCATCAATGGAATTCTAAGAGATGGATTTACAAATAATTCTTTCAATGTAACCTTTGGTACAAGTTTCACTGATTCGTATTCCGTCCTCATTTCCTCCATCTCATCGTGAACTTCGATCGTGCCACGCAACCAGGCCAAAGCTGCAACAACAAACGGTCGTTTCGTTATCGATAAACGTCTCGCTCCAATAATGCAATAGAACTCTGTTCAATGAAAACAATGAAAACAATGTACAACATGAAAACAACGAAACAAGCGAAACAGCTTTGTACTTTGCGGACGATACACAGACAGCATTAGAAAAGTAATTAACATTGAAAGACTGCGGAAATGTACCTCTCTGAGCTTCCATGTCTTTTCCTTTACTCAGCAACAGATATTTCGGACTTTCGGGACACAATGGAAGCGTAACCACTTGGAAAATTGCAGGGACAATTGTCAGACATAAAAGAAGCGGCCATTGATCGTCAGTGCCCAAAATTTGCTCCAAGCCAAGAATTTGCGATACCAGAATAGACATAGTAATAACTAGTTGATAAACTGTTCCAACGGCTCCTCGTAGATGAATAGGTGATATTTCAGATAGATACATAGGCGCTAAACCAGCGTTTAATCCTGCATTGATACCGATCAGAAATCTTCCGATAATTATCATTTCATAACTTTTCGCTGCTTTGGCACAGCCCTCGAAGATTACTGTGAGCAGGACCAGGATATTGTTCAGTAATAAACCACCCTTTCTACCAAAACGATCGGCTATCGAACCCACCAGAGAGCCACCGATCATTCCGCCTACGCAGAATATCGACACCGCTATTGCCCATATCATCGTTACTTCCGATTGTTTCGTCACTTGCCCAGTACGATTCATCTTCAGGTCACTGATCCAGTTTTCGATGAGCTGTAACACATCATCCATACCGTCACATATCTTTATCATTCACTTTCATTTCTACGTTATACTTTATCCGCTTACTCGCTTACATTTCACATTCGAAACTTTAATTTGCAATTATAATGTCAAACAATCGCAAATTCAACTGTTTCGCCTATTCGACGTCGAGCAATAGTGGCGCTTGCAAAAATGAATTAAACACGTAAAAATTACACGTGACATAAAAAGCCTCGTTGTTGATTCTAACAACTCGTACGATGTTTGTATGTATATATTGATAATATTACGCGGTAACATTAAGAATAAAAAACGTTGAAAGCATTTAGGATAAATCCAGGCACTTTATTAAACGGAAACGACAAATTATTATTATCGGAACGCAAGCATCGACTATTAGTTGATTTAACAACAACCGATTATCCTAAATAAATAACAATTTTGCTTAATAATTGCGCGAATGAATATGATCGTAAAGTAGGCACATATCGACGCTGTGTACAAGAAAAACGCTGACAATGTGTCTTATGAAATACCTGCTGAGGTGCATTAACGACACCAGTGTTGTACCCATGTTGAAACGATGATCCAAGTGCAGCAGCCGCAATAGCAAATGCTAGTCGTCCATTTAGACCCTGCAATAAGGACAATTATTTATTAGATCCGATGGCAAGTCGAATCTACGAAATAGACGGACATCTATAGTATCGTGAATATGTTTAACGTTACTAGAAAAGAAACTTACTACCAAAAAGTAGTTACCGCGGATCGTAAAAACATAGCTTAATGTCTTTATCGAAAGAAAATTAACAGACATTAACGAAGACCGTGATATCAAGTATTTATTATGTTTTATCTAGTTGTTTTCTAATTGGATCTAAAATCATTACACGAAACAAATCTGAGATTGGAGAGAGAGAGAGAGAGAGAGAGAGAAGCTTAAACATTAAAAATATTAGGTACATAGACAAAGTTTATAGCGACTAACGTTTGTTTGTAGAGACGAAAAAGGTCATGAAAAATACCGATTGTGGTTCACCAGCAAACATCTACCAAACCGAAGACCTATTTGCGATCTTACCGCTTTCCCAATGTAAGCGAATCCAACTGCTTTCAGAGTCATCGAGAAGTTCTGATCGATTCACTGACGAATTAAACAGAACCGTACTGATAACCAGATTAAACCACCGCAATTCGATCGTTTTATGCAAAATATCTATAAATGTGGATGTATGTATACTTATATAGGTTTCCGGTGTTTCCAAGCACGTGTCAAAAACTACTCTGTAGGTCGGTACCCCTGCCAGGCATTTTTATACCGCTCCTATCCATGGCGCACAACCACGTTAAACACACTGTTGTACATGATACGCACACGTGTCCGAGAGAACTCTACCAGCCAGTGTCTCTCAATTCAAACGAAGCACGAATATAATCTCCAATTTAATTCCAAATTAATTCGTACAATCCATTATACTCCGAAGGTGTTAGCAGCAGGCAACACATATACGTATCATTATTATTATTACTATTGTCATTGTTATTATTATTATCGTACTTGGCTGTATTATATGTACATCGTCTACATATGTTATCGTTAAAACAGCGTTTGCCCTTAACTTCACTTTCACTTTTATTTTCGCCCATTATTTTTATGTTGAACACAGAGATTACTTGATATGTACAATACATGTACCAACGTGCAAAGCAACTGTTTGGAAGAAAGGGTAAGTTGAAAGGAAATCTTTAATTGACACAAATGGGGGAATATCTGTCAAGTCGTTGATAAAAATACATATGTATCTCACGCGATTTATTATTTCTCATGAATATGCATATTAAGAAGTGCGTTACAGACAAGCCTTGTTTCTACTATACATATACACGGGAGCATATTCCATGGCACGGTTCATTTTCATCGTTTTCTTTTACTCCATCTTTAACCAACCACTAATGTATTCCGTCCGGAATATAGCTAAGATTTCGAGACTAAGAATCCGAGCTAAGAATCCGAGAAGCAAAGCTTCGATAAAATAACAAAAGTACCGTTGTAGGCATAAGAGGCGGCAGACCGAGAAAACTGTATTTTATATTTGTCTCTAATGTACGATTATTTATTTTATTTCAAGCTATCGAAAATTTCTTTCGAGCTTGAATGCTCTCACCTCGATTCGTTAAATATTTGATCACGACGCGAAGCTGACTTATCTTTTATTTGATTCGATCGAATTCACTGAGACTCCGTTTCAAGAAAACGACACCATCAACAGCCATGCGAATGAAATTGTTTCGTAAGCATATTTCACACGGTAGTGTAACAGTGCCTTTATTTGTAATTATATATGTTTGTTCGTGTAGGCGATACGCCAGCATAGTTTTAAGGCAAGTACGTTCCATATATTTAAAAAACTATTGTTATCTCCAATAACGATGACAAATACGTAGCAACAGTAACGAAATTCCATTTCGTTACGAGTATGATGTCATGGTAGTAATTCTGAAACGAACGCGAACGAACTCATGAAGAAGCGAAAATTTCCTCTTCTTCGAACCTTTGTTGGCGATTGGTCGAAACAGAGGTGTGTCGATCACGAGCGGTGCCGATTGGCCGACGACGCCAAGCCTCTCTTTTACATCGGCCTCGTGGCACGCACAAGTTCGAGCATCCCAATTATAGCCACCACATGACACGAACGCAAACAATTTATTAAAACTTTCAAGCTGTCAATTAGTTCGACGATCCTCGATCGTACGGCAAAAACTTTCACGAAATTTCCAAACGACTACTTTATTAACTCAACTACGAACGAAATATATATATATATACACACACACGTGTAGGATCTATATACACGACGATATAACTAATCGACTATATGTATAATATTATTTGCCAGTGATCTGAAATTGTCATGAATAGAATAGTATATTATATTATATTATATTATATTATCTCTCGCTTATTGCGTATATTTATGCATATATGAGACAAATTTTCTCGCCCAAAGATAAAAAAAAGAATAACGTTGTTTTCACGGTACTATTCTTAAACAGAAATAATTTTGGACGCCACCCCGGATACTTTGATTCTTAACCAGCTCGTTCATTCCATTCGTTCGAACGAATCTTTTCTTCGTTTCGATCAATCTTAAACTAGATTTTATATCTCTTTATAAAATAAAGCTTAATACTTGTTGGAACTTATTATAAAACCATAGGTACATATTATCATAAAAAAATAATCGCATCTTCAAAATTCTGCATATAAACGTGTTAATCTTATTTACATATTTTTTCTTCCTTTTTATTTACGTATTCGATGACCAGGTGTATGGTATTTAAGAAATTGCGATTTTGCATCGGTTATCGATTTGCGTCATTCGTTGTATGATGTAAGTTGTAAAGAATAGTAAATGTAATTCCGATTTAATCGAATAATGTACATGCTATAAATGCATAAATAACAAATGTTTCGGCGAATAAAATGAAATGCTAGAACAAAGTGCTAAGAAAAAGTTGTAATAATATTTGTAAGTATTCTAAGGGCACCTAACAACTTTACTTTCCATTTTCTAACACAAACATTGGTCTCATTCATCTCGAAACATTATCGTTCAAATTTAGTATTAATCACTGTTCAAGGTTTTCATATATAGAAATAATCATACATATTGGTTAGATTAATACACACGAGTATCAGCTTTTTCCCTCACTGTCTATTCGCCAAACTAACTAACTTTGAACTAACGCGAACCATCATTTACGAACTGTACAGATGCCTCGGTACTATTTACTCGTGATATACTTTGTTCACAAACTTGAACAAGAGATCACAATTCGAATAACGTCACCGGCGTATAATTTAACTTTATGTATGAATGTAACTCCTAACATACAGTTTCCGATTAATTTCCTGTCACTTTCGAGATATAAGGATTTTACAAACTTACAAACAATTTTCCAGGCAATATGCGTATTATCCAACGAAAGGGCAACTCGATCTTTTTAATAATCGTCACGAACGTTTCCGTTCTTTTACTTCACCTGTACTAGCTGGTACGCGCCGTATTAAAAAAAAGAAAAAAAAAACGAATATTAGAAAGCTTTGCGATATTTTAACCGAATTAAATTACCAAAGTATGACGACAGTTTCAGAAAGATAATGAAATTTCTGTTGCGAAGCCTACGCAACGATCTCGTTCAACGATTATTCGTTAATCGTTATTTAAAAGCAATCTCGATAATGCGACTCTCGACCAAACTTGATTTAAATAAAATAGTTTCTCTCTCCCTCCTTCTGTTTCTTTAAACTTAACGTAGGCCGGCAGTGAAATAATCTTATGCTCCTATAAATATAATCAGCTCAAAAAAAAGGAAAGAAATAAACGTGGTTAACAACACGTTCGAAGAGATAAACGAGGCAAAATCTGTAAAAAAATAGAATTCCCGAAACTAATCGGCCAATTTGAACGTTCTGTTAGTTGTGTATTAAAATCAGACGATGGAAATAAACCTGAATCGTATTTCTTTGTAACTGAAAATAAGAAGCAATGAAATTATTATAATCTTACTTCTAATGGCACAAAGTGTAAACTTTTCCACGTTTTGATAATCTATGGTACCTCGAACGTTCAAATTGAATATTAATATTTTACCGCTAACAACATTTGCATACCGTTCCACGGTACTCGGAGCAAACACGACAGATCGATTTCGAAGAATATTTTGTCCGCTGCGAAATTGACACGATAACTAATAATGCGTTAATACGAGGTATTTGAGCAAAGATTGTGTATTCGAGCAAAGAAAGAAAAATGCGGTAACGCGATGTATAATAACGTCTAGTTGTTGATTTAGCATTGTGGACAATTAACGTTATACTTGTATTAAATATAGTTTTTTACCTGTAGCGTGTAGCTCATGGTAAATCGATAAAATTTCGTAACCGTTACTACTAAATATTATACGTTATACTTTATCGGAGGAAGGTTTTGCTGTCACTAACGCGTATATAAAATGCGAATCACACACAGATGCGGCAACAGTGAAGAGACAACGACCGAATCGTTCCGTGTCACGGTCGCGTATGAAAGCTACTGAGACCAGATTCGTGCTAACGGGTCGAAAGCCGATTTTCGAAACCAGTCGTATCTCCCTCTCCTCTCTTTGCTTCTCCCTCGAGCTTGGGCCCCTCGAACGACCAATTGGACGACACCAAGTTACCTACTTACCTCTCTCACCGATCCCCAGCATTTCACCCGATGAAATTCACAGGAAAAGAAATTCACGTTAACAATCGTCCATACTTGTTTACGACGATTTTGCTCTTATTCCTTTCTTTCCTTGATAATTAACTCGATCACTTACTTTTACGAATACCGCTTACTAACACAGCAAATGTACGTTCCTGTTTATCATCGAATCCCATAATAGGTATGGATAACTCGTTATTCGCGACGTTGTTTCATTTACGGTACGATCAATTTTCGTCAACAAATTTTTTCTATCGGATAGAGGTAAAATTTGGGTAAAAACGCTCGACATTGTTTCAAAATCAATAGTTTGTCGGCGTTCTATCGAAGATGAGTAATTTCAAGTAACAACTGCGAGAGATCGTTCTGTACAACGATACGATCGCCAACCACTTCCTGGTTAAAAATTTAATTCGTCTACACGATATAAATTAAACAGAAATGTACGCTCCGGATTAACACGTAATTATAGAGCAGTTGTATAGCCGAACAGTTTTAAACATTATAATAACGCATTTGGATTTCTTACGTATGTCCTTCTCGATTTCATCGATCTTAAACCAAAGTTCTATCGGACGAGCTTATATTTCATCCGCCACGTATCAAATCAATATGTTTACGCGGTTGAGTATAATAGCAATATCTTATATCGTGATGTAAGGCTCATTTTACAAAGTTTTTACAAAGAGAATTTTCTGTTATTGCTAAGATATTAAAAAGATAAACATTACTATTATATTAAAATGGCTGTTTGAGAAAATTTAAATAGACACTATGAGAGAGAGAGAGAGAGAGAGAGAGAGAGAGAGAGAGAGGATTTGAACAAAATTTTACTCTAGCTGGATCTATTATTTTGTTGTTACAAGCCCGTACCGTCTCAATGCAAAACCGGATGTAGCCTTTTAATGTAGCGCTCGCGTTGCCTGCACCAATTTTATAGTTAAGAATATTAAAGTCAGAGTGGTTGTCGTAATCAACGTAATCCGGAGAACACTTTAACGACGTATTACCTCTATTCTTTGGAATTCATCTTGGTCGATACTTCTGCGGATCACGGTGATCAAATTTATTTGCGTTCGAAGCAAGAAGAAAAAGTTGGCCGCATAGACAAACATTTTCAACTATTTATTTCCCTTTGTTGCGCACTCTTTTACCCGGTTTTTCTCCTCTAACCATTCGCTTTGTTTAAACGTTTAGAAAGTTTCACGAAAATAAATAAACATCGTTCTAAGCGGAATATTTCAAAGATATTATTAAATTGCGGTTCGATAGACTTTGACGGCTTCGGTATCACTGGACAAAACGGAAATTACGCAGACTGTGTAAACCGTAAACTCGTGTTCCGAGGAATTGGGCGGTTCTACGTGTACAACGACACGACGTTTCAAAGATAAAGACCTAGAACGAAGTGAAGTATATCTATTTCTTTGCAACATGATATTTTTAACGAATAAGAAATTGACGAATTTCTAGAAAGTGAAATTCAAACGCCGATACAAATCAATTGCCCGATCATTTTTAACACAACCGCTTATTACAAAAACTTGTTCGTATGTACGTACGTACTTAGTAAAATTGGAAATAAGCATTCAACAGAATATAAAGATGTGATGGATTTACAAACGACGTTTCAAAATATGTGAGAAATATAAGAATAAATGAGATAAAAAGGTAAAGTCAAGGAAACGACGATGTGACCTCCAGCCGTGGATATTCTTGTCTATCCGAAACTTATAATTTAATAGACAGGGCATAGAGAACGATTGTATTATCGCCGGTGACATTCGACATGGCCAAAATTTGAACTTTACACAAGATTAGGTTCCTCTCGGTACGCGCAACTTCACTCGTCGTGAGTTAACAGACAACGAAAAATGGCTTCGATAAACGCGCTTACCTTCGTACACGAGGTAACATTCGAGATTCGCGCAGGAACAACGAAATCGAAATAAAACGGCTGCTCCAATAAACAATAATAAATAATTTCGATGACTAAACAAAGAGTTAACGAGTAAAAATACGAATTAAGATACTTCTCGTATTAAAGATTATCGTTCACGGTTCTATCGTATACTCACCCACCGCTTATCCTCCGTGGTAGGCTGCATGTGAAAGAATAAACAAAGTAACAGGAAAGATAAGATTCGTTTTAACGCTATTTGTACTGAAATTTTGGAAAAAATTCTTTACCTTTGGCGCTGGTGTTAAAGGCGATGGCGTTGTAGCCTGTTTCTCGATTTCATTGCTCGACTAAATCGAAATTTGTTAATTACGTACGCATATCGAAAATATTCAAATGTCTACAAATTTTATATTAATTTCTTTCTTTCTAATACCTTGTCATTTTCCGTTGCCATTATAAAGCGGCTTGTAAAAAAGAATCGTAAATTATATATATATTTATATAGTATACACTATATAAAGAAATTGACGAATTTCTAGAAAGTGAAATTCAAACGCCGATACAAATCAATTGCCCGATCATTTTTAACACAACCGCTTATTACAAAAACTTGTTCGTATGTACGTACGTACTTAGTAAAATTGGAAATAAGCATTCAACAGAATATAAAGATGTGATGGATTTACAAACGACGTTTCAAAATATGTGAGAAATATAAGAATAAATGAGATAAAAAGGTAAAGTCAAGGAAACGACGATGTGACCTCCAGCCGTGGATATTCTTGTCTATCCGAAACTTATAATTTAATAGACAGGGCATAGAGAACGATTGTATTATCGCCGGTGACATTCGACATGGCCAAAATTTGAACTTTACACAAGATTAGGTTCCTCTCGGTACGCGCAACTTCACTCGTCGTGAGTTAACAGACAACGAAAAATGGCTTCGATAAACGCGCTTACCTTCGTACACGAGGTAACATTCGAGATTCGCGCAGGAACAACGAAATCGAAATAAAACGGCTGCTCCAATAAACAATAATAAATAATTTCGATGACTAAACAAAGAGTTAACGAGTAAAAATACGAATTAAGATACTTCTCGTATTAAAGATTATCGTTCACGGTTCTATCGTATACTCACCCACCGCTTATCCTCCGTGGTAGGCTGCATGTGAAAGAATAAACAAAGTAACAGGAAAGATAAGATTCGTTTTAACGCTATTTGTACTGAAATTTTGGAAAAAATTCTTTACCTTTGGCGCTGGTGTTAAAGGCGATGGCGTTGTAGCCTGTTTCTCGATTTCATTGCTCGACTAAATCGAAATTTGTTAATTACGTACGCATATCGAAAATATTCAAATGTCTACAAATTTTATATTAATTTCTTTCTTTCTAATACCTTGTCATTTTCCGTTGCCATTATAAAGCGGCTTGTAAAAAAGAATCGTAAATTATATATATATTTATATAGTATACACTATATACTATATAATATGTATGTATGAATGCGCGCATACACACACACACACACACGCACACACGCACACACGCACGCACGCACGCACGCACACGCACACGCACACGTCATATGTTATTATACGAAAACGTTCAGCGAAATATTAATGATAAAATGAATAATTTACGAAATAATGTTTACAAGAGAAGGAGAAATGAATATACGTAGATAGTAAAATCATTGGAGTAAAATCTGGTCTTACGCAAGATTAAAACGTTTAAGATACTTCGAATCATTTCATGAGATTATGCGAAGTAATTTCAAGATAATTTAAAAATCAAATGGTTATAAATATATCCACTGTATGTATTTACGATGTATTATGAGGTGAAATATGGAATATACAATGAAGGAGTAGCAAACGATTGTTAATCGACATCTCGAGTTCACATCGTGTTCGTAAAGATTGTAAATGATCGCGCATGATGCAGTCAACAATACGAGAACCAAAAAGGTTCAACAGCATTGTACTTCTTACGGAATTCGTATCGTACGTGGTCATCTTTCTTGCGTGTTTTTTTTTTTTCTCTTTCTTTATCGCGCCGTGATACCCGCTGATGAGACAATTTCAGCAAACCCACACTGAAGGTCATCCAAGGTCAAATGTGGCAGCAAAATAAGCTTTCTTACGTTATAGACAATATCTCAATTGGTGACCATTTACGTGAACGCAAAGTTGCAATTCTCGTATCGCTATACATCTCGTAGCCGTGTCTTTTGCGACAATCGTTCTTACATGTAACCAAATAACCGGTTCCGTTTAATTTTCCTAACCCAACCGCAATCTTCGAAATGTTCGATGCAAGGGATATATACCGGATATCGTTGAATATCGTTCAGCATACAAGGCTTAAAATCCCTATCGAATTTTATTTCTTTCTCCATAAATGACAATCGTATCTAATTGCTCTTCCAGTGAAAACTTCATTTTGATAATAATCGTACCGATCGATAGTCATATATTTGATTTAGCAATCATTCACGCTAATCTTACAACTGCCGCGATGTTTACATTCTTAGCTACACGCCGTGTATTTATAGAACATAAACGATATTTTAAAACTATTCATTTACATAAAAATACGGGTCTAGATCTAGCGACGATAAGATTTTTCGATCCACGCTGATCCATAACTCGAAAGAAATAACACGTAATAATCGTTCTACCATCTTCGATGACCTTGGATGACCTCCAGCGATAGTTTGCCGAAGTCGTCTCAATACCGACTATCGCACAGCATTTCATTGAAAAAAACTCGGAACAACCTTGAAATCTCCTCTATGCCTTCATCTACATAAAAATGTCTGTGTCACAGCATGCCCCCCTCTATACCGTGCAACTTTTGTATATAACATTTCGTGTTACTACGAATGACGGAAATATTCAAGTTGGGTATAATTATTGCCCCACTTTGTATGTATACGATTCTACACGATTTCATTGATTCAAAGGAAAGACAATTTTACTTTCATTCAGCAACAAAGAATGTTTCTATTAATGTGATATAGCATAACAAATAATATTCTTTTCGTTATATATTGCTCTTATTATGCTTATATATAGTATACATATAACGCGCACGCGCGTATGTGTGCGTATATATAGCATGCTTTATATTACAGCATCCCGTTTCATTTAATGATACTTTAATGACTATAATGTTATAATCATTATTATAGATAAAAAATAGATATCACTAAGGCAACGTCGTAATGGAGTCATCGAAAGGGACTCTAGCTTGCTTCTATATAAATTGTATGTACGTAAATAATCAATCTTCGTTTCGATCGATATAGACAAAATATGTAATATCCAGGGGCGGCTACTCAATACGCGCTATCGTGCTGCAGCATGCTAAAAAATATTTCAAAAATCGCTGATATTATAATTTTCGTTTCATGCTGTTATTTATTCGTGACTCGTTGTCACAGCGAGTTGTGTTTCTTGCATAAACGACGCGTGCGTCAGTGACTGTAGCAGGCTCGCAGCAGTCACGGATTGCCTTCTCGTTCTACTCGTCAGGCGGACACAACGTTTGAAAATCGCTTCTAGACTAAACAAAAGTCTATCGCTGTCCATTGTATCGATATCAATATAGCCGTTAATATCTTCCCTCACAGTCTCACACTTTTTCTTCGTTCAACGTGTTCCGTTCCTTGCCGCAGTCAGTGTCACACGTTCTCTGGTTACTGTGAATATTTAAAAGTGTTCCTTTTCATTCTGTTGACCTAATTCGAACCTTAATTTAATGCTCGAGTATATCAGTCCTTGAAAATTAATTCCGTGGATTCTTTGACTTGTTTGCACTTACGCGATCTTTTCAAGAAAAAATTCAAATTAGAACACTGGCAAGAGCTACTCCTCGTTCGACTTATCGTTCGGACAACCAAGGGGAGAGAACATTGTTCCATATACAACGCCAGAGGTTAGTGACATGTTCGCAGTCAAGAAAAATCGTCGAGCCGATTTAATTATTTAAGACTGTTTACGTGTAATCACACGTGAATGTAGCACGCAGCACGCTACGTGTAAAATCTACGAGCCGCCACTGGTAATTACCACCATTAAAATATGTAGGAGATCGTAACAAGCCTATGATAATTTCGTGTGCGAAGAAATGGAGTGGATGAACTTTTAACGAAACAGTCTGTGTCAAAAATTGTTTAACTAACATATCCTGTCTATATGTATATATGGATTTTATATTTCTTCATACATCATGTAATATGGTATCGTTACATCGCGCAACTTTCCTTCAAACTCATAATCTTTGTTTAAATTAGTTCTTTTCTCACATCTACATACATATCGAAACATTGTAAGTCAAAGTCTAACTGAAGAAACAATTCTAGTCAAATTACCTTTACCTTCTTACCATTCACAACTGTTGCAATTAATAAATACAAATAACGTAATCAATGCTGACCATTATTATTTTATCGTAGGAATCAAAACATTTCTTTGCATCGAATTGAATTTAATTTTAGAATCATTATTGATATCAGTATAAAGAATTACCCCTTACGAACGATATATACATATATTTACATTACTAAAATGCATTATATACATACCTACAATCTCAGAAGAGTCAGAAAGAAATTTCCTATTTGTACCCTATCCTCGATAATACATGTCTACTTGCAACTTGTGATTGTCAGTTTGCCTCTATCTGCTTTAGGTTTACATTGAATTTACAAAAAGCAAACGTACAATTTGTTTAATGAATTTTCATAAGAGAAATAGCGGCTGTTGCCGCGCGAGTGGAAAGCGCAACACAAATGAAACACGTATGTCAGTATGTATGCGTACTTACTTACTGTTGATGACGTAGTCAAAGGGAACACGGGTTTGACTATTCCAAGCGAGTTCACGTTCGATTCTCGTATGCTTATCTTCCCTGGGTAAACGAATAACCGACCAAGAAGTCTCACTGTATTTTTGTGCGCACGCGCGAAAATTTTCATTGCAATTCCAAATCTAGCATTGCTTAATTTTTGATCCACTTGGAAAATTATCTCTAGTCTAAGTCATTCGATCAGAGAAAACAATAATTATATCCAGATAACAAAATAAATTTACTCTCTTACTCTATTGTCTTTCCTTTGTTTCTTTCCTTTGTTGTTGTTGTTGTTGTTGTTGTTGTTGTTGATTATAGACCATAAATATTTTAAATTTATTTTAATTCTATAGTTTAGTTATTTAAGTCAAGTGACCTTTTTCTAATAAATTTTTTCTAATAAATTTTCTAAAATAATATTACTTGATATAACACAGAGAAATTAAAGGTTATACGTGTAAATTATCTAAAGAACTTAACATTTATTCGAAATATTAATATATCACTTTAGAAAAATTGGAAAATTTCACTTTCGCATTCGCGTTTACTATTGCATAACGGTTGTTCGTTCCTTATATCTTCTTACATTTCACATTAAAAGCCATTATGTACGTATTATGAACTTTATTGATTTACAACTTGCATAACGCGAAAAATAATTGACCTCGAATATTATTAGTTATAAATATCACGCAACATCTTTTTAGATTTACACCGATTTTACTTTGTATTCGATTAAGCATTCGGATATATCATCACACATATATTTTTTAAAGACACCGTTCTTATCACAATTAATTTCAATGTATATCTTCATACACAACCATATAATGTTCTTATACGAGTAAAACTAACGGAATTTTTAAACGACCATTAGGTCAACAATCTGTTAAATAGCGTTCTTCAGCTTGTAGCATACGTATTCGCGTAAGGTATGAGGTATACTGACTTCCATTCCTGGCTGTTTTTGTCGAGCCTGCGCCACCACGGACGCCTATGTGGGCCAAATGTTTACCGGTAGATCGATATATTTTGAAACATGTTACTTTGGTTAAGGGGAAGTACATCATAATTCGCGTAATTTAGAATAGAAAACTTATTACGTTGACACATATGGAGATTACTGATTGCAAATATCATAAATGACTATAGATTAAATAAGAAATTTAAAGCAAAGTGCGTGCATGCGTGCGTGTGTGTATGCACATGTACGTAATAATTATATAAATTTAATATTTCATTATTTTATGTTAAGTAAAATAAACATTTATCTAAAATGCGACTTTATTATCTTTGTATAACTAATTTTTTAAATATAACGTATATGGGTAAACATATTCTAACCTCTTCTGAAGTATACAGATATGGTATAGAGGTAAGAAATGACTATACTTTTGATCGTAGAACATTTATCAAATTATTGATATGAAAGAAAGGAGATGCAATGAGAGTATGCGGATATGTAATAAAACGTACTTAGTTATCTTATCTCAGGTAAAAATGAACGATACCATCGCGTGGGCGATAAACGACGGCTACACATTCGATGCAACTGCAAGCTACACGCTCGCTACGCGACGTCATTACTCGGTAGATGGCGAGCCCCCAAAGGTATCGACGGAAGAAGAGCGGTGGTGCGGTGTGTGACGAAGAGAGGAACAGAGAGTGTACCGCGCCTGCGAATTGTCGTCAGGGCGACGGCGACACTGGAAAAATCGAACTGAAATAAACCGAAGCGTTTTCTTCGCGGAGCTCGAGCACCGGTTCCACCATCTTCGTCTTTCTTCAGCACTTTTCTCCTCTCGTATTCGATCGCCGTCTCGCTCGCGCTACCGCCGGTTTCACCTTCATCCTCCCACTACTCCTGCCGCCGCTCACCGGCTTCTCTGTCGACCGTTCCACTGACGTTCCCTCCTTCCAACGCTGCTTCTCTTACCTAGACTCTCTCTCTCTCTCTCTCTCTCCCCCTCTCTCTCTCTCCCCCCCCCTCTCTCTCTCTCTCTCTCTCTCCCCCCCCCCGCATCCCTCTTCCTGCTTCCTTCCAGCTCTTTGCTACATAACCTTCGAATTTTTATATATATGTTTACAATCCTCTTATTTCTTTGCACCTACTTATTACTTTATTTTTTGTAAGAAATTTGAAACAAAATCTTTGAGTACGTATAGTTATCGCATCACCTATTTATTGTGATTAATAATTACAATGTAACATTATGCTTCAAAATTATATATACATAACACAATTTAATTTATTGTATTATACAAATTTAGCAAACAATATTAGGGACGATAGTAAGTAGTAATGATACCTTTATTCAAGCGTGAATAAGTTTAAATGAATTCAAGTTTCATGATAATCCAATTTCTTTGTTTGCAATTTACAATTTAAATACTTATGTAATACAAAAATATTAAAAACTTAAATTATTGTAAAATATTCTGATATTAATATATTATATTTATAAAGGGAATTCATATAAAAGAAATTTGAAGTCATTTCCTTTAGCAAGTTGATGCCGTAAAACAAGCATGTATTAGCATTTCAAATTATGTTCCATCCATTTTCAAGCTGTTACATAGGTACGTACGTTCATCGAATCCAATGTTCTAAAACAATTATTGATAATTTAATTATAATTTAGAAATATATAATGCAATCGTAAAGAGAACTAAAGGATGTTTATATATTTTTGTCAAGAAAAGATAAAAAATCTGAGAAATGCACATTCATGTTTCAAATGAATAATCCTTTTGAGAAATTGCGTACATACATACATGAGTATATGAAACGTGTCATAATTATAGGCTCATAATACAAAGGACAAATACATATGTAATGTGAAAGAAACGCAATCTATGAAGCGAATTTCGTAACTGATACATTGATCGAATGGTTATCGTATTTTACAACGATGAAGAAAAAGTTATAAATAAATAACAATTTTTAATAATTGTATGTCGTTTAAAAATTGTTTCATGACAAACATAAAAATTGAGATTCTTATGAAACGAACATTACTGTTTATATTTTTTATTTAATAATAAATAAAGGAACATAATTCGGTAATTTTTAGAACGTCGATGAGTTCTCGGTTTCCTGTGGTTTTTAAGTATATATGTTGAAGAAATGAACGTTTTGAACCGACAGATTTTTGCGAATATCTGGATTTCTAAGAGGGTCCGGCGATTGTACGTACGGGGAGAAAGTTGTTCAAAATGTTGATTTCTACGACATATTTCAAAATCGTCGAAATCGAGAACGCGTGGACTTTTTAAATTCTTTATAAATAATTCCCTATAAAATTCCCCATAATTTCACATATTTACTCATAGCATTATTAATTTAGCAATTCGTATAGCATTAATATAAATTTAATATATTTTTACTCATCGTAAATTGCATGTTGCGTTTATGTAACATTCATATGCGATTGCGTCAGATAGTATAGATACCTCGAGGAATTAAAGAACACCGACAGACGACAGGTGACGTGCCTTGTACACACCCACCGAATCGACCAATCAGGAGCTAGGTTATCAAGCGTTCTCAACTCATTTCCTACACACAAGTTGTCTATAACTATTTTTCAAGAAAACAATATTCGTTGTAAAACATATACTGCTTTGAAACAGAAAAAGATAATTAAGATAAATTTAGGGAAACAAGATATGTTTAACATTATTAACATTAGATACTGTTATGATAGAACCGCGACATGTTAACCACTGTTTGTGTCAATACGTCGTCCTTAGACTGGTAACTGGGAACGGAAAACCGAATGAAAGGGAAAATTCACCTGTTGATGAGAGTATAAAATTCTAATCTTTTGTACAACATAAAATCGAACATCTTGAAACAATAGTTATTTTGAATAACTAAATTATAATATAAGAACAAGACTTTGATACAACTTTTATCGAAAATTTTATTCCAGATGTTCCCATCACACGTTATTGCTATAGTTTTTAAAATTGTTTGATAGAAAAATATATTTTAAGAGATAAACGAATCATACTTGTGTTGCAATTGCTGACAAATGTGATTTGTAGCATTTACGTGATTATTAAAAAAGAAAAAAGAAAAAAAAAGAATTCACTAAAATAAGATTTTATAAAATCCATAATTATAGAATATTGATATAATACGAGCGATAAGTATCGTTTAATTATCCGATAGGTACTAAGGGCATATTAATTGAATGCTTAGAATTCTATTAACTAGGGTCAAATGCGTATCTACGTATAGTAGTTTAGAGCTCATCTTACGTCATTCGAAGAAACCACAGATCGTTTGTGATCAAGAAAGCATTACTAAAGACTAACGATATTTGCTGCAAACTCTAGAGAATCGATCAATGATCTGTGATGCGTAAGGTCAAGAATTCCGTCAATCGTTCATGCGTTCTATTGATTATAATTATCGTAAAGCAACATTGATTCAAAATATTATTTCATTTTTACTCTATAATCGACATCCCTATGGAATTGCTAAGATCGCAAGTATTGCACATCGTTCTTGAATATCGAAATCTAAATGTCATTTTAACCATTTAATTAATTTTGATTGCTTGTTGTTATATGATATATTATCACAGGGGAAATTCCTCTCTGATATTGTATATTTTATATTAAACGATATTCATTTCAAAAATTGTCGTTATTCAATAGGTAACCTTAAACGTAAATATAATTAGTTTCTCTTCAAATAAATTATCTTCTTTTCGTGCTTCCCTTCTTACGTTTATATGTATATATGAATCGTTAGGTCGTTTACTAATGAAAGTTCTGCGGATCATTCGTAAGTTGTGGTAGATTACGCACCGATGCGTATTTTACTAACTTACTAATTTCATTAACTTACTTATATCTATATCTATAGATTGTCAAAAATTTCGATCAAGTGGGAAATTTGATCGATACGTATGTTTCCTTCAAACGACCAGTATTATTTGGATGAAAATATTACAGTAAAAAATCTGCAGAGCTTAGTTAACGACTCATTATTGCTTCATTGTCTGACAACATTCGTATCTATATAAATTTCACTCGGCATTTACATCGAATCGTCTATTACTTTTATTATATAGTTATTTTATACATTTCATGTTTGTGTTTTTAATAACAGTAGTTAGTGTCATGTTGTGTGTGTATTTAATATCAGTAATGGTTTATTGCAATTTTAGCAATAAAAAGTAAATTAGTACAACATACGATAAAAATACATTAGTAGAATATCAAGAGAAGATGTAAGAAAATGCTAATATGTCTAAAAGTAATTTGTTACATAAGCAATTTCAAGATATTTCGATAAATGATTTGAATATATATAAAAACAATCTACTCACTTTTCCAGCTGAGACAGGTATAGTGGTTTCTCTAGCATAAATCGGAACGTCCATATCACTAACACTGCTGCTGATACTAGGTGCTCTGGAATCTGGTCGACCATTAATAGGAACAGAAAGATGCGTTGGCCTAAGTGGATGAGATTCCGCGACAAAACCTTCTCCAAAGTCTTCGTCATCTCGATCCATTTTTCCTTACAACACCGAAGATAATATACATAAAGCGATAAACCAACGTATTTGTCACTTTTGATAAATATCAGTATCTCAGCCACCTCGCCGATTTCGATGATTTTTGAATATGTTGTAAAAATCAACGTTTGGAACAACCTTTTCCTCTACATATAATCGGTTGTCTGGCCTTAGTTTCCGACATATCCGGAAAAAAGCAGTCGATATCACTACTATGAATTTTGCCTGTAATTGTCCGTCCGTGGCAGCCTATGCGTCAATATTGATTACCGGCCGCTGTAAGACGGCCTGATAAAATGACGCCCAGTCTAAACCTAATTCTTATCTTTTGTTTGTAATTTATTTGCATATCTTCTTGTTAGGTTTAAGTTGGACGCTATTTTATCCGGCGGTCGCGTCGTAAGGTAGCCGACGACCAATACTCACGCATGCGATACCAGCCTACGCGGGCGCCTACAAATATAGGCAGAATTCACGATATGGTACCGACATTTTTTTTCCCAATATCTCGGAAAATAAGACCGAGCGGCGATTTTACGTATAGGAAAAAGTTGTTCGAAATGTTCACTTTTACAATATATACAAAAATCATCGAAAACGGTGAAGTGAGTGACATGTCGATAATTAACATAATAAATTTACATTGAGTATTTACTATACTCTTCAAGCACGTTGGAAATGTAGAGATTTCGTTTTTAGATGGTAATTATTACCGAAAAGAGAAGGGTGATATACAACTTTGTAATTGACTGAAATATTGCGGTTTCTGCATAAATTATTAAAGATAAAAATAGATATATCATTAGAATAATGACAATTGTCAATTATGCGTCGTAGATAATGTACGTAAAATTAGCGCGAGAATGTGACAACAGTACGCTTTCCCTATCAATTATTTGGCAAAGAATCAAGGCTAGTGACTCGATGACACACTCCCCACTTCTATTGAAAATTTCGTCCTACGATCATTCAAGAAAATCATTAGAAATTAATGTAACTTTTGTACTAATTACATATTTCGAAAACATCAACATAATTCACACTGTTCGCTATTTAGGATTTCAAAGACACATAAATACACAAAATTTAGGAGCAAATTATAACGTATAATTTGATTTAGAATTAAAATTAACATACTTTCTTTTTTTACTTGATGTTGTGAGTTTTACTCTCTTAATTCCTTGTATTAAAAATGTGTATATTTATAATAGATTATTAATTACGTTTTAAATGAGCATGTTTCTCGCAAATCACTCGACATGAATTGGCAAGAATTCTTGAATATGCTATGCATATTTAACATTTATACGTTCGACCAATGAACCAACGTTTAAAGGTTTCGCACGTGAAAGGAAAAAAAAAATGATTTTTCCATATATGATTCGTTGTATATAAGATGAAATATATTATTTCGCTCGAGCCAATATGCCGACCGTGAAAAATCAGGACATGGTCCATTGACGTCAACAAGGAGTCTAAAAGCTGTTATAAGAAAAGCATGACATTATTAATTACCTCGTGCTCAAGCGAAGTAGAAACGATAGAAAGAATAGAATGAAGAGAACAGTTCGGCAAGAGTCCGTTGTTTCTCAATGAGTAAACCTGCACCTCTTATAGCGCTGATTGTGAAAGGATCTGTTGAACGTGTTACCGATGAAATCGACGATAAAAGCACGAAAATACGGGGAGCAAAATATCGAAGATCAGAGCATCCGTCCACCCAGGGTGTGCTCTTGAGACTGAGCTAGAGGACGCATCAAGTCGCGACGTCGCCGTCGTCGTCGCCGTCGGCAAGACGTAGCCGTCGGCCTCCGGCTGGATTTAATTTTAACGCGTACGTCGTTAGACGAGCCTCCGGCTTCCTCTAACAACGAACACAACTACGTTAATGCATCGCCTCTTCTTCCCCCTCGATTCTTCTATTCTCCTATATTTCTGCATCAATTAATTTTCTTGCTTCAATTGATTTCACTTGACCTGGTAGCATATCCTACCGACAGATTCTATCAGACTTCTAACTATTCCAATATCTTCCGAAGATGTTCATATTTTTTCTTACTCCACCTTGCATTCTTAGAATTAATCACTGTTAAAATCGTCTTTATTTGATAGAAATTAAAAAGAAAAATTGATAAAAAACAACGTAAACCTTTACGTTCAAAAGGTACTTATATATTTAATGTTTATTATTCCTACATCTTTTCTTATAAGTCAACCTCCTTTATATTCGTCATCATAGGAATTTCTTCATCAATTGTATCTTACATATGTATCTATCTCACAATCGAATAAAAGATATCTATTAATCAATGTCAACTTTGTACAACAAATTATTGTCGCTATATAATTTCAATTAATTTTCATCGTGTTTTCTAATAACATTGATTACATAAAAAAAAAGAACACTCGATTTTAAGACTAGCTATGTGTATCAAAGGTGGTTTACTTCAACTGATACCGATTTATAAAGTTACGTTTCTATACATAATTTTAATGACGCACTACTAGAAAAAGATATCGTATACTAAAGAGTATGTAATAACTAAAATATCATTCGACTATTTCTAACATAGAAAATTTGAAATCTAGTGAAATATCATTGAAATATAAAACTCTTTTCTTGTTAGAATATTGAAAAGATAATTACAGTATTTGTATTTGATATTTTTTAATCAATATTTTTTATTAAGAATACAATCAGGGATATAATTTAACACTTATTAAATCTTAGAATATTGTTTCTCATAAACTTACCAGCGTCATCTGGTGAATTATTCAGTTACCGAGTGTTCATAGGGCCGTATTCATAGTTCGTTCTCAAGACAATGCTTAAATTTTTATAAAGTAATGCGTCTTTATAAAGTCGATCTTATATCCCTTAAGAAATCACGAATTCATAATGGTTGCTTAAGAAGGTTTATCAGGAAGAAGCAAACGCTTATACGCAGAATCGTCTTATATTCACTTTCTTTCCAAAGTCTTTGCTTAAGACCACGATCGTATACACAGGCCCGGAAACTCCTGTGGCGGGGATAGTTCCAAATTTGAGGACAGAAAGTTTCTTGAATTGTCCACTACAAACAGGACGCTGATGTCGAGTAGCTGAAACAATTTCAACAAAGTAACACGTGATGCAAGTAATCAAGTGAACATTTTATCATTTTTGTAACGCTTTATAAGTAGGTATACGTTATTTATGCATAAACACTTTTATTTATGGTTAAACTTCGCTTTAGGGGACACAAAATTATGATCTTGTATCCTCCCTTTTTTTTTTTATAACTCGGCAGCAACGCCGCTGGTGGCGGATAGGAAACACACAGGTCGTCGTATAATCGTGACATTCTCCGCTACAGAACCTGTTTCAGACCTGTACACGAGACAATGGTATATATGCATACGTATACACTAGTATATATGTATGCTAACTTGGTAACTTGATTTGCGTTCGGAAACTCTCAGAATAATGATCTGCTAGAGTAACCAATGATAGAAGGACATTCCGTTCATCCCATGGTGGGTGATGGAGTAGACTGCGCACGCATGTATGAATGAATAATGGATCTGAGCGTCTTGAGGGGCATCTTTAGAATATTTATTACGGGCCGCATAAATTAACAATGCCTTATCCTCGACCCATGTCTTTCACTTCCTTAGAAATGTTGTTGTCTTTCCGTCTTGCGCCATTTCCTTCTCGCCTTCCTCCTCATCGCCGTACACGTAAACACTTGTTTCCACGAAACACAACGCTCCCACTCCATTTACTTAGGAAAATGAGGCCCATTGAATCATCGGACCAGAAACACCAGGACAGGTGACCCTGCATCAGAAAAGAAAGGATAGGTGTCGAAGATTGAAAGCGAAGGAAGGGAGGTTTTTAATCTATTCCAGTTTTTGATTCTTGAACGTGAATTTCTTTCTGTTCCAGTCGAAAAATATAAATTAGAATAAACGATCGTTTAGAAACATCAAAGTCTTTTTGAATTCCCGCGCATTCCTGCGAGCAGACACTAACCCATGTACTTTTTTCTTGAAAGAACCCAAGAAACAACGTAACAGGATCAAAAGAATATGTCGTTGTTTTAAAATTACAATCGATTCTCCATTAATATTAACTGGTATTAGAAATCAGAGAATTCATTTATTCATGTTTCGTCCACATACATACGTATGTTGATATATGTAAACGATGATAAAGCTATAACGTTTTGTTGCATATATTTTAAGTTTCATATTTTCGCATAGTGATTTAAGGTTTAACGATAAAATTACAAAACGATAGCAGCTATGGCTGACGAAAACTCAACAAACCAAACGGAAGATCAAGAATTAAACGATTTGTTAGACAGTGAGTAATAATAACATTCTGGTGAATTTATAATAAACATAATTAAAAAATCCTAACCTCAAACTATATAAATATCTACCTTTATCTCTCTTTTTCTATTTAATACGTTTATTGCATACTTTTCTTACAACTTTATTTGGAAAAGTATAATTTAGTTAAAGTAAAGGAAGAAAGGGGAACAGGAAAAGAATATTTATATTGTTTTATAATGATAAATAATAATATGCCGATTCTTTTATTACGTAATTAAAGGAAAAAGACCAACTAGAATACCTAGCAATACTTGTTTGTTTTACACTAAACTTTGATAGAATTGACAGTTGTATAATCATTTACTCAGGTGCTTTGAAGGACTTCAACAAAGAACAAATATCAGATAAAGAGGATATGTGTAAAACAGATACTTTAGAATCTACAACAGATAAGAACACAACTGATATATCGGAAGATGCTTGGACTACAGATTTTGTTAAACAAGCAGCAGAACAATTTGTAGAAAGCCTACGAAATTTCATTCAAAATGGTAATTGTTTATGAAAAACACAAAAAAGATATTATTAACAAATTTTCCCATTAGAAACAGATAGCGAATTAGGAGTTTCTCCTCAAAGGATGGCACAGACAGTTGCTAGTGCGATAAACAACGAAGAAACCTTTGATAAAGATAGTGTGAGTAGAGACTTTCAAACTGCCATTGCACAAGCATTAAACGACTTGTCTACGACGTCCGAAAACTTACAGGTAATTGTTTCAGAAATCACGAGGGTCTTTCTTTTATTTAATTCTTTGTATCCTGAAATATGTTTCTTCTTCCGTGAAAACATTGTAGAGCGATGCTGATTTATCTGAAATGTTTGGACTAGCATCCTTGGAAGATGGGCCAGGTGCCATTCCACCATTCATGCAAGGAATGCTACAGCATTTATTGTCAAAAGAAATTTTGTATCCGTCACTAAAAGAATTAGTAGATAAGTATCCTGAATGGTTAGAAGAGAAGAAGACAGTGATATCGTCGAGTGACCTTCAGAGGTTTAGAAAACAGCTTGAATTAATGCAGCAGGTGATTATACAATAGGAATAATTATAGACAAAAGCCATTTTCATATGAACAACAATTATTTCCGCATAGGATAACAAGTTATTTCAATCCTAATATAAAGTATATAAAAGCGTCCTTTTATTTTAGGTATGTATGGAACTCGATAAAGAGAAAGATGATGATACGGAAGAAGTGAAAAAGAAACGTTTCGAAACGATAATATCATTTATGCAAGAAGTGCAAGCTTGTGGTCAATTACCTGAAGAATTAATAGGAGAACAGACAACGCCTTTTCAAACTGATAATGAGGGCGATCCTGTGATTCCAGCGTTACTACGCAGCATGGAAACACCGCAGAATTGTTGCTTAATGTAAATCCATCCTAATAATTATTCTTCGACCTCTGCGTTTATAATAATACAAGAGGTTGTTGTTTAAAATAAAATATCGAGGTAAATAATGAATTGGGATGTTCAATCCATGAATCTTTTAGATGTATTGTAATATACATATATAGCATATAATATACATGTATTACAATATACATATCTGCTATAAGGGATATATGGAAGACTATTTAACATAATTTATTATTCTCGATAATGATATTTATCAGTACATCATGTTTGTAAATAGTAATGTTCCTTGTATGCGAGTATATACGTGCGTACGTATGTACGTATATGTATTGCTGCAAACATTAGATATTTTTTGTATACGCTTGAAAATAATAGAACACTATTACATTTGTAAAGAGCGAAACTTGATTATTTTCAGTGGAACTTTCAACAATAGACAAAATCCATGATAATTGCATAACCTTTGTTTTATTAATTTATTTATCCATATTTGTCCATTTTTGCATTTCCATCTTTACATGCAATACATACATTTTTTTGTACGATTATTATGCTATTATTTTCTCTCGCAAGAAAGTTATATGATATCAGAGATTGCGGCATTCTTATTGAACATCGTATGCCGTTTTTGATAGAAAAATCGTCACACAAGGAAATAATAGCATGCAGAATTTAACAATTTCAACAATGATATTGGAACGTTACATCTAGTATATATGTAATTGTTTTTATACGATTATAAATACATTTTATGCTTTTTATATTCGCGAATGCAGATGTATCTCACATGTGAAAGCAAAAGGAATTTTCCAAACATAAATTATACCGATACGGTATAGATTACTAAGGTAATTTATACACAGCGATAAATATCCTATTTTATTTTATTTCATTATACTACGATGCTAGTTTGGTAATTAAAGAAAATTAACATCTTTTAAATAAAGATGCTAACCAAAATCTAAAGATGTAAATGACATCGAGCAGAGATTATAACGGAGAGAGGGCCGCAACTCCCGGTAAAATCTTTCCTTCAAGAAGTTCTAAACTTGCGCCACCACCGGTGCTCACATGGCTTACTTTATCTTCTGTTTTCCATTTAGCAGCGCAAGTGGCTGTATCACCACCACCGATTATGGTAATAGTACCTCGTGACGTTGTCTCTACAACATTGTCCATTAAGCTCTTCGTACCTTTACTAAAATTTTCAAATTCAAAGACACCTGCCGGGCCATTCCATACGATTGTTTTTGCTCTCTTAATAGGTTCTGTGCATTAAATTGGATATAGTTATAAACAAATATTTTTACGATATTAGTTTATCTGAAAATCTCAGATACATGTCGATGACTGAGAATAAATGAATAGTATTTACCACTAAATAAGGTGCTTGATCTTGGTCCGTTGTCAAGTCCCATCCAACCATCGGGTATACCATTTTCTACATCCGCAGCACCAACAGCTGCATTTTCTGCGAATTTGTCTGCGATAACAAAATCAACGGGCAGATGTATTTGAACTTTATTTTTCTCAGCTTTAGATAATAATTCATTAACGATTTTCGCACCCTCTTCGTCAAATAATGAATTACCAATCTGGAACACGAACATTATACTTTTAATTTAGATATTTCAAACACCAGTTTACCATGCTGTATTTACCTTCATGTTTTTCGATATCTTTAGAAAGGTGTAAGCCATTCCACCAGCTATGATCATCTCATTAACTTTATCCAGCAAATTATTAATCAACTGTATTTTATCTGCAACTTTGGCACCACCTAGTATAGCCAGAAATGGCCTTTCAGGATTATCCAGCGCTTTAGCAAAATATTCCAATTCTTTTTTCAGAAGAAAACCACTTGCTCTTGTTTCATATCCTTCACCAAGCATAGAGCTGTGAGCTCGATGGGCTGTACCAAAGGCATCGTTAATATAAATGTCTCCTAATTTTCTCAATGATTTCCTAAATTCCTCTACTTTTTCCTTCTCTGCTTTTACCTAAAAAGAGAGAGAAAGAAAAAAGAAAGGAAAATAAAAAACAGTAACAGTTTGTTGGTTTTACCTAGTCAAATCTATTATATAGCATGTAAACAATAGCATGTAATTTGCTTACTTTGGCTCCATCCGCTCCTATTCCTTTACCTTCTTCTTCTATGTGAAATCTTAAGTTTTCAAGTAAGATAATAGTTCCAGGCACTGGATTGGCACATGCGGTTTCAATCTCAGATCCCACACAGTCGTTCAAGAATAGAATCTCCTTTCCAAGTAAGGACTTTAGTTCTTCCGCAACAGGTTTAAGAGAGTATTTCATATCTCGTTTACCATCTGGACGTCCCAAGTGTGACATTAAAACAACAGATTTTGCTTTTTTTTCAAGAGCATATTTGATTGTATCCAAAGCAGCAACGATTCTCTGGTTATTGGTGATTTTACCATCCTTCAAAGGTACATTGAAATCTACCCTATAGCAGCAATGAAGTTAATGTTCACGAGTACCATAAGGTTAAATTTATTATTTAAATTATTTAACCTAAAACTTTGATATGTTACTTGGTATAGTTATGCATTTTACGTAATAATCATTTTCTAGGTAAAAAAGAGTTATACCGTATGAGAACGCGTTTATCCGTAAGATCCACTTTATCGATGCTGAGCTTGTTTAGCGCCATGCCTCTGAATTTTGAATATGTTTGAATATGTGAACTTGATATAGTATTACGTATAACAGGAAACGTGTTATTATCGCTTCTGGATTTTAATCCACTTCGTTTAGCGTTGCAGCTACTGGCAAAACTCCCGATTACTTTCAAATATCTCCTATCGTCGTGACGCTTTGGCTCAACAAAGTCAAAGAAAGGTCGACGAATACAGCGACCTCTGAAAATCTTTTGAACTGTTCGCATTAGAACAACCAGAGAAACCGAGACAATAAGGAGGATGTCAAAACGCTGTTGAACTTTGATCCGTTACTTATCTTTGTGTTTGTAACATACTTACATGTCGCATAAATATTTTCAATGAAGTTATGCGAATTATTTTGAATGGAAATTAATGGACAAATCAACAAAAACAGACGACAAGAAACAAAATACGAAAAATCGTATTAATACATACATATATACATATATAACAATTACATATATAATATGTATTAAACGTATAATTGAACGAATATGAATTAGATTGATATGCCATCGGTAAGTTCGTACCACTCGATAATCTTTGTAACAATTGTTGTAAAATGTGAGAAAGATAACAGCGACTCAATTTTAACCGATAAATATCATACTACATACGTGGAAGGTAGATTAACATTCGCATATTATTTACGTACATGTATGTGTATATATATGTATACATGTACATTATATGTATCTGACAATAGGCGAGATGTGTGAATTATTACTTACGAAAAGTGTCAAGGAGTATGGAAAATATGAAATTTAATCAACTATGTACTAACACAAAGATATAGAAATTATTTACAGTGATCACACGAATGCATTATTAAAGTATATAAGTGAAACAATGAAAATGGTTAATCGACTCGACAATTGGATATATTATCGTTGATACGAGCATGGACAGAACTACTTATGTTCCATAAGCGGTGTTCAATCAACGTCTGGTATTCCGGTATTTCGTTCAACCGTTGCTATTCTCGATTCTGGCATAGTAGCATAGTCACGCCCAGTTCATTTGTTTGATATAAAAGATATAACATAGAATAATTGAATTACGTAGAGAAATTGAAAATTAGCATTCCGTCATTCATACACGTGTTTGTATGCGCGCGTGTAGTAATATGTTGTGCGGTATATATATATACACTGGATTAATATCTTCTTCTTTTTTGTAGTTCTTTCGTCCGTCCCGGTTATGGGATTTCGATTTCGGTAATTGATCGTATTTCGATGAAAACAGAATTAAAGGTTGTTCTATACACGAAAGACGATGAAGTGAATCGGTTATCGTTGGCGACTATCTAGAAAAATTGGTTTTGATATTCGTTGAATATAAGAATCGTGTGAATCTCGTGTGAGCATGTTCTAACCGATGCTGTACCGAAATAACACAACGTTGCTAAATGCGAAGACGAAATACGCGAAATATAGCCGTGTATATTTTCTCACAAAGAATCTCGGCTAAAATCATTTAATTTGGCACAACGTCTGAAAAAAAGTAGGAATACCGTCATGTATTATCATGTATTATGTATATTACATTTACGCAAACATTTGTGTAATCGTTATACATTTCGCAGTAACGTGATCCCATAGTAAGATATGTAGTACGAACAGTGTCGATCGACATGTCGCGAACCAATAATATGTATATATATATATATACATATACTTTATGCTTGTAATTGGCGGAATTATCGGATTTCTATTGAAATCAGTTAAATCTTTACCGATTTTCTTTTCTCTTGATCAAAGAACGAAATTTGCATTTCTCATCATCGTCGACCATTAAATATCAAATACATACATATTTGACATGAGATCACTAATAAGTGGACATATCATAAACTGATTAATCAACTAATCGATTAGATATTGTATATGTAATTATATAATTATGTATTATGGAATATAGAATAACAGTGAAAGATTATGGAAGATTATGGAAGATTATGTAATTGCTAATTATGCGTGAACAATAGAACAATAGACTAGAATAGATACACGTTTGCAAGAAAGAAGAGAGAAAAACAATTTGATAGATGTGTACCGAAAGCGTGTAGCTGGTATCAGATATACTTACGTACATATACATATGTAACAGTAGCGTCCGCAATCGGTTCGGTTCAAGGTGTGCGGCTTCGTAGGCCACTACCGAGGGGGGAACGGGTTGGATGGCAGGGACGATCGAGGAGGGAAGGAGGCGGCGATGGAAGAAACGGAACATCACGCTGATCGTGCCTCGTGTCAGTGTGTGTCCAATGTCCAATGCCAGTGGAACGCGACGATTCGCTTTCTGGCTCTAACTCGCTCGTCGTCAGAGAACTTGGGCCACCGGTTCGTAAACGAACTCACGGTGTTATCTAGATCGCGGCGACGAATTGTATTCGTTCGCTGATTCGTGCCCTAGATGAGGAGGATCGTGAAACCATTCACTAGAAATCGCGCTACGTTTATATCGATTCCATCCGAGTAACCGATCGAATTGTTCGTTCGTTTCTAGTGCCGAATCTCGCATCGATCGACGCATCGATCTACTATTACTATCGCCCTTGCTACTGTTATCGTTGTTACCACCGTCCGCTACACGCAAACGTCATCGTAATTATTCTACTTGACGTCGTCGTCGTCGTCGTCGTCGTCTTCGTCTTCGTCTTTGTGTAACCAACTTTCCACTTGGCACAATCTTTATGTGCTTTGTCTTTACTTGAAACTATGAAGTGGTATGTGATTATCTCTTTTGAGATATACCCTCAAATTTCGACTTCCTACTCAACTTTTTTTCCTTTCTATCCCTTTCCAGGAAAGAAACTTGTGTTCCTTTTCTATATGTTTCTATATCTTCTTTGCGTTCTCTAACCCGCCACTTGTTTTTACCTTTCTATATAAATACGTAAGTTTTACCGAAACGCCTGACAAATTGCGTATTTTGAACTTTAAAAAATTACGTACACGAACGTGTTCGATTGTATCCATATAATATATACGTAATACATAATATATGTATAACTTTCAAGTTTTTATAATTTAAACATGTCTATGGGAAAAAGAAGCAGAGATGAATGATCGCAACAAAGATGCTTAACATTGACACTGGCTAAAATTTACAAGCAGCAAAGCTACTTAGAAAAATACCTTGGCGCGGAGAAAGATGCTACTTTACGTTTCATGACACGCACACACGCACACACGCGCGGGCGCGCGCACACGCACACACACAAAGTGGGGTCGTTTAAAAATAGACGTTTAAACTTAAATTATGCCCTCTGGCGAATGGAGTTAGTAATTTAAGCATTTCGAAATTTCATTACTCGATTTTTATTAAACATGTGCGAAAAGACGGTCGAACGCTGATCAAAAGAACAATTGCGCGTCCTCCTATTTAAAATCTTATTCGAAATCCAAAGAACCGTTGCGAACACTTTAATCGTCCAGTAAAATATTTCTTCCTTTATCAACATAGGTCGCGAAATTCTAAAATGAAAGTGATTGTATCGTACGTTTGCATTCATAAAACAGCTTAAAATCATTTAAATTTATAGAAACGCCTATTCACAATCGGCAATCGATAGTTCATCTTATTAACTGTAAATTAATTTTTCTACAAAAAGAAAAAAAAAACGTTCAACTTTTTTATTTACGATTATTATCTTCTGCATACATATACATGTGTGTTGTTTCTTTTTTAAACGATAAATAGAATCGACCCGAATAAAAGAACAATTCTTACCTTGAGCATGACATTCGTTCACGAACATGTGAGAAATGCACGGCTTCTGCGTGACTAACAATAAATTCGCACGCACGCACGCGATTCGGCCATGCCGTTGTTAGGTATGGTATCTGGACCAACTCTCAACTATATATCATGTCATTTACTTACATCGATCAATGTCACTAGCTGACTTAATTTGTGTCTAAACTTTCATAGATATAAAGATATCTCTTTTTCTCATCTCATCCTCAAACACATACAAATTTACAACTGCAAAGCTAAGAGAACCAGAATCTGTTTGAAATTAAAATCCTAGCCCCAATGGCTAAACATTGCCTTCGTTTACGTATTTCCGGAGAGGAAGTAACAACTTTTGAATTAGTTGTTTCGAAAAGAGGTGTTAACAAGTTCGAAGCGATTACTTACATATGTAGACCTTAAAACCGTTCACATTGGGATATACACACGCATAAGTAAGTAAATACATATATATAGGTATGGTTAGCTGAAGAAATACTTATCTGGAAACTTGAAAAATACTTGGATACTTTTTGAAAAGCTCGAAAATACTCGAAGATCGGCACACATGTAAAATGTACACTTACAGTTAATATGTAACAAGTTTGTAATGCCTTCCGGTTTTTAAAAAAGTATACTCAATCTGTAATATCCTCTGCTCGCATCGCTTAAAATTATATTTTCATAGGTCCAAATCTCTTATACATAAAGTGCTTTCGTTTCATTAGAATCATTTACAAAAAATATATACGATTTATGCTACAAAAATAGTAAAATAATAACGGTAATCGTAGTACAAAAGAATCGTAAGTACCACGAGCACGAGTATAAATACGATACAGCGATCGATATGTCTTCTATGTAAGTAGATAGGTACTTGAATCGATTTTGCATCGTGATACAAGACATGAGAATTCTTCGGATTCATTGATTCCTGTTTAGATAAAAAGGAGAAGCCTTTATCATCTACTACTGTGTACACATCTAAACGTGTTATCCTCCGTCTTATTCTTAATGACAATGAAAGAAATTAGTCAAACAGGTGAATACGTCACGACACTGTTCAAGGTAGTATCAAAAAAATTTGACGATCAGTAAAGTTCAGTAAAAATCATTTACAATTGGTAATGCGCGTATCCTATCTTATTATGTCGAACGTAATAAAATATATAGCTATGTAATACGTGTACATACACAGCTATTACTCGAAATTACTAAAAAAGGTGTACTTACAGATTTGAGTCGTTTCCTTCTCATTAGCTTCTTCTAAGCACGAATACTCTTTATAATATTTTTTACTTTTGCGCATAGTCATGGTGTAGCCATTATTGAAGCTATTAATAAAACTGGAGACAGATAAAATATAATAACAATTATCTATACATACATATCAATACATACGTAAAGGAGCGTAACATGCAAAACAATGGATGGATACGTGAAAATGTTAACGGTAATAACTTTTTGCGGTGGGCGCTGTTTTGTAACACAGTAATAAAAATAGAATGGAATGAAAGAGGAAACGCTGTGAAATACGCGGTGAATTTTTATGAAAGGAAAGAAGAAAGAAGGAAAGAAAGAAAGAAGAGAGAGAAATGCGTACGGCACGGAAGGCCTAGAACGTTTAATTCCGAAATACTAATGATTGAATCGCGAAATGTTTGAAATCATAGAGGGAAAAGATAGGACGGTGAAGATCGATCGAGCATTCAGGTCGCTATCTTGCGGCGTTTATAAGCATTACGAATGCCGTGGTACGAAATCGAAAAATGGCCGTTCCATCGGTGTTTGACGGGCATATCTACTAGAGCATTGATGAACATATTTGATATGTTTGATCGGTGGTGAAAATAGTGATCGTAAGAGTAGAAAGAACAGTGTAATAGAAATTCGGATAAAATAAGATTAGGAAGGATCGAAGGACCGCGTTCAAGTGAGAGAAACAGTTAGGAAGGATTGGTGGGGTAGGGTGGGGTGTGGTAGGGTGAGAGTGTGGGAGGGTGAGCGAAGGAAAGGAAAGGAAAGGAAGGAGGAATACGAAAGGGTGAGGTGAAGACAGAAACTAATAGGAAGGGGAGGAAGTAGTGGTAGAAAGAATCGGGGAAAAGGGGGAAAACGAGGGAAAGAAAAGAGATGGAAACGGGAATCGTGCGGGATCGTGAAATAACATAAAGCACTGGCTGAGAAGAATTCGGATTGTGTAGAAACGTCATCAACGATTACCAAACGACATTGTTAGTGCAAATGAAGTACTAATCATATTTGGATTGGTTGGTGGATCGTGCGCGTTGAATTTAGGAAAAGCTAAATGATAATGCTATAGTACAATGAAAAGTTCTACGCGGCTAGAGTTTTTTTTTTAGGACGAAGGAAGCAAAGCTATATATCTTTTCCTTAGCTGCGCTTCCCCTCTTGGTTTATAATCACTAAGCTCGGCCTTGTTCGGCTCTGTTCGTAATAATAGTTAATCCAAGCTAGAACAGATTAGAAGCTCGAACAAAAATTTCTTTGGCGAAAATTCGCGTTGTTGCGGGTACGAACAGAGAAATTTTGCAAGCGATTCGGGGCAAGGATAGCAGAAGGAACCAAACGTGACACCAGGTGACGGGTCGAACGATTGAACGTGGTTGAACGATTGGTAGAGTAGACGATCGCCCCCTTCATGCCCGATGCACCCTTTGCTCGCGCGTAATCATGGCTGCCTAACACAGGGCGCTCAGTATCGACCAATTTCCTACTGTAATCGTACTATAATATGCTTTAGGTTAAAAACCTAACCTGTCACAACCGTACAGGGTGTGTCGTTTGTCTCACGTTGACAGCTGTAAAGTTCGCTGCGTCGGGTCGAGCTGTTTCGCATTCCACTTACTGCATTACGTCGCGATTCATTTTGATTCTTCTTCCATCTTTCTACCTATTCTTGCTTGCTCGCATCGTTGCTTGTCGCGTATCGGCCAGGGGCTAATACAAGACCGAAGACCTACACCAGCATGCGAATATTCTTTTTAATTTTTAACGAATCTCGTAATAGGGTTCGCTTGCGCATTCTAGGCATCCCGATCACTCTACTACATTGCAGCCAAGGAATGTAGGCGACGAAAGTACGGATCAGAATAATAATATAACTATGATGAGCGAGGATTTGCTGCAACCTGGCCATGTGGTCAAAGAACGCTGGAAAGTCGTGAGTCAATCTATATCTTCTTTTCTAAGTCTCCTTCTTTTTCTTTTGCTTCTCCAAACTACCAATTCCCAAAGTATCTTGTCTATTTTAGTTTACCCAGTAATTTCTTCTCTATGCAGGTCAGGAGAATAGGAGGGGGTGGGTTTGGTGAAATTTATGAAGGGCTAGACTTGATGACCAGAGAGCAAGTCGCATTGAAAGTTGAATCAGCACGTCAATCGAAGCAAGTTCTTAAGATGGAAGTAGCAGTATTGAAAAAACTTCAGGGTATGTTGTAATCTTATAATTATATAGAACTAAATTAGCGTAAAGGCATGATTTATATACAATATATACATATAATACCCAAGGTAAATATCGCTTTTATCTTTGTTAATGAATGCTTGTCATTCCCTATTGCAGGCCGAGAACATGTGTGTAGGTTTATAGGTTGTGGCCGTAATGATCGATTCAATTATGTTGTAATGCAGTTGCAAGGAAAAAATTTAGCCGAGTTACGACGTGCTCAGCCTCGTGGTGCTTTCTCATTATCTACTACTCTCCGTTTAGGACTTCAAATTCTCAAAGCAATCGAAAGCATACATCAAGTAGGCTTCCTTCATAGAGACATCAAACCTGTAAGTTTATCTTAATTTGTACAACATTCTCAGAATAGTGTCTAATTTCAAGAAAGTTCTTGCTATTTCTTCCTCGTTGTCCCTATTATCTTTCGAAACCAATTTCCAATTTGTATCGATGTAATGATTTCCATGTTCTTTTTCCATTAATGTACAATATACACCTATGATCGACCAATGTGTGGGGCATCGCATACGCATATTTTCTTCCAATTTCAGTCGGTCACTTTTACCATTCGCACTTTTACCATTCACTTATTTATATCACATCAAAATTTATTATTATTATAAAATTTATGTTCAATCGAGATAAGATACATGTTCATTAATTAAAAGATGATATTGATACTTCACGAAAATGGTATTCGTTATTAATGGCTATGGCAAAAGTTGCAACTCGTTCTGTATAATTAATGTTATCTTTGCAGTCAAACTTTTCAATGGGACGACTTCCGCATACATCGAAGTTAGTTTATATGTTAGACTTTGGTTTGGCTCGTCAATTCACGACGGGTACTGGTGAAGTTAGACCACCTCGTAGCGCGGCAGGATTTAGGGGAACCGTCCGGTACGCATCGGTGAATGCGCACAAAAACAAAGAAATGGGCAGACACGACGATTTGTGGTCATTATTTTATATGTTGGTAGAGTTTGTTAATGGACAACTTCCATGGCGAAAAATAAAGGATAAAGAACAGGTATACCAATGTTACAAGTATTCTTGGCTTAATTGACCGATACGCGTCTTCTTCACCATAAAAAAATGATCTCGCCTAAGCTTTAATGTATCGTTTTTCCTTTTCTCTCTCTCTCTCTCTCCGTCTCTAACTTTTTCCCTCCCTCCCTCCTTCCTTCCCTTTCTCCCTTCCGCGCCTCATCCATCTTTCGTTTCTTCGTCTAGGTGGGTCTCATGAAAGAAAAGTACGATCATCGCTTACTTTTAAAACATCTTCCAGCGGATCTCCGTGTTTTTTTGGAACATATTCAGGTATGCGATCTTAATATTCTTTTACATGTTTCAAAAAGCCAGCTATTTTTATTCAATATGGTTATGTGATATATAACACTTAATAGATAATGATACTATTATAATAGATAATGATACTTCTAATTAATGCATGTGATCGAGCAATGAATGGAATATCCTTTTTAGAGTTTGGGATACGCAGATAAACCAGATTATGCGATGCTGGCAGGTCTATTCGAACGTTGCTTGAAACGTAGAGGAGTGAAAGCTACTGATCCCTATGATTGGGAGAGGCCATTTATATCGAACGAAAGTTTACCGACTACCAGGTCTCTACCTAGTAACTACCAGGTCGCCATGCCTCCAGTACTGACCACAGCTACTACGATCAATCAAGCACCGACCACGCCGAACGTCGATACGAATAATCAAGAAAACGTCGAACCCGATAACAGAAAGGAATTAGACGTAAAGAGATTAAATAGAAACGTTTACTAGATATCACTAGCTGCGTATAAATTACGGCGGATATATTTCAGCATATATTTTACAGGCACAAATGGATTATGAAAGTATATGTAGAAGAAATAAACAACGTGGAGTAGAAGGATCTTCGGTGCCGTTTACATCAGCTATCAGCAATCACGGCCGAGATAAAAATTGTAACGCCACAATACCTACAATGGATAACACCCATCAACAAGCTGGGCAACAGGCTCAAGGTTGTTACCTTCAAAATAAGATTTCATTTATTAGAAAATATCTTAAGCAAGTGCTTAGCTTGATACAGTCATGTTTGTTCGCGTGTACCTTTACCATTTCATTTCTACAGACTCGCCTAAAAAGAGGCGTGCAGTTTCGATGGCAGCAGAACCACAAACAGGCGTGGTAGACAACGAAGGAGACGCTTTAATGGCATCCGCTCGTTCTGCTTCAGAAGTTCCTCGCAATAAAATTGGAGCTAATGCTGCAGCGCCATTAAGGAAATCCGCAAGTGGCGCAACATTTGCTCGATTACGAGTAACATCTGCGCCCGAGACAACGCCTGGCGAACCTCCCAGTCCTCGTGTACAAACCGAAGTCGATGCCTCTTATTGTTCCTACGACGTTACCAATCCAAAATACGTTGGCAATCAGAGCCCCGTGTGTATAAAATCGTAAAAGCTATTTACTAAACTCAAACAATATAAAAGATTGTTTGTTTTTAATTCATGTCTATTCCTTTTTGGATGTATATCCTGACAGGTTACGGAACAAAGAGAACCATTGAAAAGAGAACCGCGAAGAAGAACAGATGGACGTCAACAAACAAGAGCTAGTCGCGCCGCAATAAGGGACTGTTCCATAACTCAGTTCGCGCAGATAGATGACGACAATGTATCGGCGTTGCAACAAGTGACTAAAGGTGGTGGTGGCCTGACCCTCGCTTCTCAGTGGAAATCACAATTTGACGATTCTGAAGAGACTGACAACGAATGGAAAGGAGAGAATTTACAGAGTCCCGAGCATAAAGGGACCAACATGCCAATTATGGTTCCGCAGGTAACTGTTTAAAATGATCATGTTATCATAAATTACGTTACAGAATCCAATTCCGATAGTCAAGTTTTTGATTAAGTTTTACATACAAATAAAAAGTTTCCGCGGTCTGTTTTGCCACGCATTATTGCGCATAATTAATTTGATCTTATCAAATTTTAATTTATAGTCGACAGCTGGTAGTGATGCTGTGACCATCGCAAGTTCAGTACCTGCATCTATCGATGCGAAAACGACAGTGGTTCAATCAACCACGTCGATCGCACCGCAACATTCGATAATACCAACTGCCCTCTCACGAATAAGTGAAGATTCTACGAAGCCTGCGGCTCCTCATAGGTGCTTAAATATTGCTGGCATTGAGAAATATCCGGATCTTCAAAGTGCGCTTCCTCGCGCTTGGAGCGTTCCTGCGTTGGCCCCGCATGTTCGCGCGTACCTCGAAGCACCGTTGGTCCGTAACCATTATATACGCCCTTCGATATATGTATGATATATATATATATATATCATACATATTTGAAGTTTTATAGAGCTTTGTTTTATAGAGTATTGTTTTCCAATAACAGGTTCAACAAGCCGCATTCGATGATTTGTTGTACGAGGTTGATGTCATGAGAAATATAGCTACACGTTACGACGAACCGAGACAAAGCCCTCCGCCACGAAGGGCGAGCGTACCAGCAGTTGCTTTTTCACCACCAAACACAATACCCAGCACACCTGGAGGAGAAGAAGAGGAGGAAGCAGTAGCTGGAAGACTAGAAATTAGAGTAGTTGATGCAACAGGTGGTGCAACCGTTGTACAAACCACCGCGGATAGAGAGCCGTTGCAAAGTAAATATAGAAACGCTTTAATTCACTATATCTTTACCCGACCTCGAAAGTTTTCAAAGATTTTGTTACTATGTTGCCATCGCAGTGCTGTTGTTGTTGTTGCTGGCGGTGATATGTTTTTGTTGTGGCTATTATCGTATCATATCATATGTCGCTATTACCTTCGTGATTTTACATTCATTTAATGCAATTTTATAGGAAAAATGACAAACGGTACAGTAGACAGTCCGGCTATCCTAGAGAATCCTAATCCGGAAAGGGAAGAACCATCGATATACGACGATGCTGTTGAAAATCGAGCGCCTATCGATGATACCGTGCACAAGGAGAGCAACACTATCACTGCCTCGACCACTATACCGAACGTAGTATCACTTCGCGAATATAAGGACGATAAAGAAAAGGAGGTCTCTAATAGGACTTATAATACTGTCAGCAAAATTCCAATTCCGGTTAAAAGTCCGAGATGTTCATTATCGGAATCAACACCAGAAACGAATACGCAAAATACCAAAAGCATCATGGGAAATGAAGTAGAAATATCGTCTACACCTTCGGCTACAGCCAGAGAAAAAGACGCTAGTTAGTAAGACTTTTTTTTTTTTTAGCTTACACTGTAATTTTATCTATCTATTTTAATTTTACCTATCTTCCCGAACTCACATGCGTTACATGTTTTAATACTGTACAGATTCGATTGTACAAGTTTTACGATTTCTGTTCTTCCTGTTCTTCACGAGTTTGGTCGTTTTTGTAATTGATAAAGTTTACAGGCTGAGAATTCCTTAAAAACGACAAAGCCATCGTTGATATATATATAATATATATTGCTTTCCTTACAGAATTACAATGTCCCACTTCTACACGAATATCACGCACAATACCCGATAGCCACTCCCTTATCGATTTCAATGTCCTTGAAGTATGTTGTCAAAGTCATCGTTCTGAACAACTTTATTTTATAAATATCACGACCGCCCAGCCTTAGATTTCGAGTTATACACGCAAGTATGTTTGGTATTACATATGTCGCGTAAAACTGGTTTTTAATATATCGCATAGACCTTTTTCAATATCTTCATAGCAATATATAAGCAATGGGAAGAAATAATAAAAATTTCAGTCACTGAATTCCAAATGAAAAAAGGAATAGGTAGGATTAGGCTATTGAGAAGTGGTGGCGAGCCGCGTGGAGCAGTATAAATGGGCGATTTAAATTCAATAACGTTAGAAAAAAGAGAAAATACTCGGTCTCCCAGGGATAAGTACTACATGTATTCTATCAACAAATTTGTCAGGAACTTATTTGTTACAAGCGTGCCCGGTCACCATGAAAGACATATATCGGCTGTATAACCGAGCAGTAACAATACCAATTATAGTGTAGCTACAGCAACACAATTATAATTGGGACACACGCGCGCATATGCACGCAATAATTATAATATCTAATATACAGTCTTGTATAAAATATAGAAAGAAAGTACATACAAATATAATACCAAAGTTTTTTGTATAACTCGAAAACTAAAACGAGAGCGCCCATTATATTTACATATATACGAAGAAGTTGTTCAGAATGATGATCTTGACAATATGTTAAAAAAAAGTGGTATCGAAATCGGCGAGGAGTATATATATATATATATATATATATATATGTGCTGAAGTTTTAATATATATATATGTCGGAGATGAAAGGACATCGGAGCCTTCCCTTTGGAACTTTGGGAAAATCCCTTAACACCGTAATCTAGATTCTATCATAGGCGTAATTAAACAATTGTCGTCATTCGATTCGATTGTATTCGTTCGAGATTTGTGATAATGAGCTTGGGCTCGAGACGACAATCATTCGCCAAACGTAGCCGCGGTCACGGGATGAACGCTTTGTCTGGCAGAGGTATGGAGTAATTCTATAGCTCTCCTTAAAAAGGAAATAGTTGTGACACTCGACAGTAAACATTGCAACGGTCACTGTCCCGTAGTTCGCCACATGCAGACCCTATTCTTCGAATAAGATGATTGCCAGATGTCGATGCGTCCCCACAGTACACTCCCTCGAGGGCGGCTAGCATCTTTTTCTAACCACCAACATGGAAATTGACCAATTAACAGCAACGTCAGTTTCCCTCACATTCTGAAGTCCTTAGACGCACCCCGTCATAGTTTTCCTCTGCAGCATCATCGCGACGGAAAGTCATTCTCTCGTGAGGTCGTATTACGCTCGGTGGATATTCCATGTTTTAACAAAGAGTTAGTTTAGTTATACTTCCACCGTAGCCAAGCAAATCGAGTACGATTTGAGCTTTGAAAGAAAGTGCATCCTCTTATCCCGTCGACCGCGGATTCGTTATTGAGCCTAGGATCATTGTCATTAGCTTCCCGAGTATCTAAGTACCACGGTTACTTGTCAAGTTCTGTAATAATCGTATTTGCACTAGTCAATGTCGTCTCTATTGCATAACGACAATGTGTAATCCAAATGAAGATAACCCTAACCCTAACCCCTAACCCTAATTCTAATGTAAACTCGACATATATATTAAACACACACATATATTAAAACTTCAGCAAACAATCAATTCAGAAAGATTACAACGAGGAAGAGTACGTTATAAGGAAAAATATTTATAATCGTTTGTTTGGAAAATTATAGTTTAAATTGTTTAGTTCCACTTTCTTCGTTTGCCTTTCTTCTACCTGTAAAGGTGCCCAGCCACAGAGATGCCACAGAGATGCCACACAGTACTATTATCGTTTGAAAATTGTACATCTTTCCTTCGACTATTACTTATTCTTTTTTTTATTACGTCAGCAATGCGCTCATGTGTGTGCGTATATATATGTATGTGCACACATCCGTTGTTTGATAAATTATATATTGAAGATTCTAAGAACATGTACTATTAAATCAAAAGGTTTTCAATTCTTAAGTAATTGGAAGAAGGGAAGGGAGGGGAAGGAAATGGAAAGTTGTATTTTTCGTATTTTGGACAGCAATTTAAAACGATTAGGATTGGTTATAGCTTCTTAGCGATACTAATAGTAATAAATTTTAGCTGTCAAGGGCAAACGCTTGACAGTGGAAGTATTGCGACGCTGCTTGGCATTGCCCGATGAACCATCGATCTTTTCACCTTTAACGTCGGCTAATTCGACAGAAGATGAAAATTTAACTGGATGTACTCCTGCGTTACGTCGCCGAAGGCAAAGCGAAAAATATGTGACCGATGCCAGCCAATTGAATCTTCGATTTCAAAGACCGCAACGCAGAATCAGGTCCCATTCTGAAGTATTATCCAAGTTTTCTCCTAGAGGAGTACCTTCGCATCTTTTAGGAGAGACGACTAAACGTACCGATGAGAGTAGCGACAATGACTCTGATAATAGTGGTCCACCGAATGCTCAACCTCCGCCACCTCCTACATCTCTGCCTCCTCATATTGCAGAAAATAATGCTAGGTATTTATATGACTGTGGTGTGTGTGTGTGTGTATATATATATATATATAT